ATCGTTTCAAAGCAGCTTTAATGTGTTGCTAGGCCGTTGCTATGACATTCTGGGTGTTTTTAGCATGCTGCTATGTGTTTGATACAGTAGGACAATCAAAAGAGCCGATCCCTAAATCTATAATCTACAATATTCTGGAAAATGAGGGACAGAAGACAGTGTGTTCAATGTGTCCTACTTTTTTTGGGGTTCAAGGTCACCCTCATTTTCACAACCCATGTTTTTTATTTTTTGGTGTATTACAGTTTTGATGCTGTATATTTAATGTTTTGTCATTTTTTCATTGGAATCAAATTAAATACGGTGTCAAAAAGGCTCATTACAGGGTCAAGGGGATTACTTTACTTTCTTATGCATATTTCTGGTATGATTGCGATTATTATTAAGTAGTGCACATTATTTTAAAGAGAAAAAAAAGATATTGATGTTAAAGTTTCAGTTCCCATTGACTACCATTGTAATTTCTGTCCATATAATGGAAGGCAATGGGAACTGAAACCATTTTTCAGTATCATTTTTTTTTTATGTTCCACAGTAAGTCATACAGGTTTGGAACGAGATGAGAGTGAGTAAATGATTACAGAATTTTCATTTTTGGGTGAAATATCCTTTTAATGTTAACTAGTCTACTGTATTTAGCCATGGTTTTAGGCTACTGTTATGCAGATTTTTTTTAAAGTATTGCCAATAGTTAACAGCAATTTAATGCTGATTAATTTGAGTAGTTTAATAAAAGATACAGAAAAATAGAAAATAAGGAACATTTGAAAAAGAAAGAAGCTTTACTGGCAGCTTGACCTTCAGCCACAATTCACTGCAGACTCACATTCATGTTTCAGATGGAAATGCATCACATTACAGACACAAATACTTTCTCATGCTGACTTTGAAACGTTCTGTTGTTTTTCACCAGCATGCACATAAATGCATGTTTTGAAGGGGTCATAACGTGCTGATAAAGTGTCAGGGTTGTGCCGCTCTGTAGTGTATTTTGTGTATGTAACAGCGGCACAGAATGAGTCTCTGAGGGAGGTGGACGAGCGCCGCTTCACTGTCTGCCTCAGTGTCTCGCTGTGTTAACATTGTAATTGGATTTCACTTCAGCTGCCACTAAAAGCATGCTGTGTGTATGCGCGCGGCCCGGTCCTCCTCTGTAAATCTACCCATTCAAATCATTTCAAAAGGCAACCAAACTGAAGTAAAAGCTGTAGCACTGTCTTCATCGTTTACTGACCAGACTAGGTAAAGGAACAGTTCATGCAAAAATTTAAATGTGTTTACCTTCATGCCATTCCTTCTTTCTTCTGTGGAACACAAAAGAAGATATTTAGCGGAATGTCAAAGCTGCTCTTTTTCAAAGTCATATTTGTTTTATACAATGCATTCTGCTTTGATGCAGATTTTAAGTAATAAACAGAAAAACAGCATTGCAAAATTCTTTAGTTTCAAATGCAATTTCAACTAAAGCAGCTCTACTAAAGATCATTTAGTGTCGTAAGGCTTCTGCACATTTTATGAAGGTAAATTTAAGACGATTTTAAGATCAATTAAAGACAATTGAAGTAACAAAATGAATGTAACAATACATCAACATGGTCTCGAAATGTAAATGTCTTGTATGAGAAAACGCTTTAAAGTTCCAACAGATTTCCTTTACTTTTTAATAAGAAGTCTTGTTTTCTGAGAAATTAATGAAAATTAAGTGAGTTTATCATTAAAACAAGACAGATATCAGTAGGCTCAATAAAATCAATTTCAATCAAAGGGAAAACAAGTTTATTAATTCATTCAATTTGCATCTCCAGTAAATGTATCTTGGTTTAAGGACGTTTGCATATTTGTATTGGAAAACAAAACAAAAATACAGAGGACGATGTTGCATGCACCATTTAATACCTTGATGTTAAGAATTTAAGACTTTCTGCTCTGATTTAAGATCTTTTAAGGACTTAATTTGTGAAAGACATGACATGTTTTTAAAGAAACCCTGTTTGAGTTCAATTATTTAACAACCTCATTTAATATTTTTAAGTACATCAGCTAAACAGAACTTTCCTCAAACTTTAAGTCAAAAGCAGCTTGAATGGTACAGTATTGTGCTTGCAACGTAATGTCATGGGTTCAAACTCACAAATGAATGTAGATGGTGACCAGGCTGTTAAAAAGCAGCCAAAAAAGCAGCATAAAAGTACAATAAAACTAGCCTGTATGATTTTGTGTTTAATAGAAGAAAGTAATTTCAGGTTTGGACCGCCATGAAGGCGAGTAAATCATGACAGATTGATAATTTTTGGATGAATTATTCTAGAGGCTCGTCTCCTGCAGTTCCTTAATAACTCAAGTGTGTCTTATTAAAACATTTTTGTTTTCCTGGGTGCTTTATGAAGTGAATTAATGAATGCATTAAAGCCAGAGATCTCCCCAAACAAGCCGCCCATCAAACAGACAAACAACTCATTCGGGTTTGTGCAAATTGAGTAAATTGTTCCACTGAGTGAAAGAATGAGCCAATTATAGATCTCGTTATTGTGCACATCATTTATCTTCTGTGCAACTTTCTAGTCAGATATTCTGCATCCTTGTTTTATCCAGAATTTGTTGTTGCATGTGGGTTTAGATTACACATTTAGACATTACAGGCAAAACAATGTTTCTTTCATGCACTGGTCAGTTTGGGGATTTGGGGCTTTTTATAATGTTTTGTTTTAAAGTAGTGGAAAGAAAACAACTAAAATATACTTTTAAGTGTTTATTTTATTGCACTTTATCTATTTGCATCTGCAGATTTTAATTCCAATCCATATCTTTAAAGAGTTTTTTCTCTTACATACATATACCAAAACTTAACAGTTGTATCCCAATCTATATTCTGAAGGGTTTTACCGAGGGGTTTGTTCATATTTCATTCATATTGATTTATACATAGCATTTTATTCCTAAAAACACAATATTTTTTTCTGTCTGTTGACAGTATGTGTGATTTATGGAGTGATAAAAACCAGCTAACAAAAAACAAGAACATTTTGCTAAAACATTTTGTTACATAAACGTTATTTCTGAATGTTCTCTGAGCGCTGAAACATCCAGTTTCTTAAATGTTTTGGAAACATTTTTTATTGTTTATGCAAATGTTAAGGGAACATTCCATTGTATCATTTTGCAAACATTATGGGAACGTTACATTTGAATTTTCTCTGAACGTTCTGAAACAAGTAGCTACATTTAAAAAACGTTGGATGAACATTCAACTAAAATGTTTCAGGAAAAAACGTACCATAAATATAATGAATATGTTTTTGTGCTAACAACATTATTAAAAACCAAAGAACTTTCAATAAACGTTCTATTAATGTTACTGGAAGTACGTTTGTTCATAACTTTGAGGGAACCTTGCCAGAACATTCTCTCTCAGCTGGGTATCCAAAATCCCCTCTGTAAAAATCGTCAGCAAAATCAATTTCTTACAAACACGCAGCTTTTGTCTTCTCCAGATGTTAACTGATGGACTGGAGTGCTGTGGATTATTGTGATGTTTTTATCAGCTGTTTGGACTCTCATTCTGACGGCACCCATTCACTGCAGAGCATCCATTGCTGAGACACTGATGCAATGCTATATTTCTACAAATCTGATGAAGAAACAAATTCATCCTAATCTTGGATGGCCTGAGGGTGAGTAAATTTGCACCTCATTTTCATTTTTGGGTGAACTATTCCTTTAAATGTTTTACCCTATTCACCTGTGGTGTCTTGCCTTAAATATGTTGATATAAAGTGTGTTTCAGTGTGTTCACTGAGGTGAAGCCTGCGGTTTACCAGATGGCTCTGCTCATGGCTCTCTCTCTCTTTCTCTCATCCGTGTCTCTCCGTCCAGAATCTCTCTCAGCGTAACAAGAGCGAAACACACTCGAGCAGTACATATAGGTCACGGTCGCATTGAAGCTTCTCTCTCAGCGCTGACACACAATAACAGCCCGCACTATTGACTTCCCATCCAGCACTGCTTTTATCCTTGCGCTCAGACTTCAACATTAGAAAACTCCATCTCAGGCCTCCACAGCCACGGAAAAACTCAAGCCCGCTCTAGAGTAATCCAGGGGTGTTACGGGTTAGAAAGATAGAGGCCTTCATTAGAGAAGCCTTGATACACCCCAAAAAATATTTGACCTAAATTTAAGATTTATGTAGTTGAATTGCATATAAAATTCCCATGCATATGGATCGCACACAGTTTTAACATTAACTAAACTTAATATAATGTATATTTATCAGTCATGCATAAATGAAACTGCACTCAAAAAATCATGGCATGGTTTATTTTTAACTATTTACATCTGTTTTATTATTTAAATAAGAATATTTTCAAAATGCATTTATCAGATTGCTTAAATTGTGAAAACAATTTAATTTATTCAGTTAAAAAGCATGAACACGGTTAAAATATTGCTAGATGTGGAACAAGCAATATTCAATTATTTTATGATAAATAAAACATATTTATTTTATTAGTACTATTATACAAATCTTACCTGTTTAATTTATGTTATTTAGGTATGACAAATATGCATCACATTAAGTTTATTAGTTTGTTTCAGTGTTATTTTAGTATCATTGAGATACTGTTAGAGATATTAATATTTTGATTTCATTATTGTATTTTTTTATTTGATTTTTCATTTTCATTTTCATTTTAGTTAAAGTTTTAGTAATTTTGTTGTGTTTTTGTCATTTTTAGTAGTTTTTGATTTTTAAAATATTTATATAGCCTACTGTATGTCTACATAGTTTCATACATTTTTATTTCAGCTTCAGTTTTAGTCAAATTTAACTAAATTAAAATAAAAATGTTGCCTTGGCAACTAGCTGAAATGAGATTTTTGGTATTTTATTTTATTTCAAATAATGACTTTTTTAACGGTTGTAATTTTAGTTTTAGTTTTTATTAACTACAATAACCCTGGTTTGTTCATGTTAAAACTGTTTAATCCAAGTGCACAAAAATGTTATATGCAAATCAAATACATAAATCTGAAATTTAGGCATGCATAAATAAATATATTTTTTGAGTGTTAAGACGGCAGCATAATATAGAGTGCAGACGTGAGCGTCTTTATAGGCCGCTGTGTTTCTTTTCACGCAGTCATCCATCACTAACCCCAGCATCTTAGAGACAATTTCCAGTTAGTGTTCTTGATTTTCTGCATCCGCTGAGCTGCTAAAACATTCCCTTCCTGAAGCAGCTGGGAGCTTGTTGACACTCTTGAGAGGGAAAATCAAGTTGAAGATGCTGGGAGCGTTGCAGCATTTCGCTCTCTTCTGTCTCTTGAATAATGAAGCAAGAAAATAAAGCAAAAGTTTATGCATCAAGGTATTAGTTGGGATGAATGAGGTTTGAATGCAATCCAAGCTGCTTTTCAGCTCCATTAGATGGTCTTGAATACATAAATTCATTTTATGTCAATTTATAATTCTAAGGATTTTTAGGGATTTTTTTTTTTTCAATCATTTATTGAAAAACACATTCTCATTCTAGTGGTTATCTGATGTTGGTTTATGATCACACAACATGCAAGTAAACAAAAAATTGTTTTTTTGAATATTTAATTTGTATATATTTTTATATTTAATATTAATAATTTAATTGCTTTTATTTAATTATTATTTATATTATTTTTACATTTTTATGATTTAATTAATTATTACTATATTACGCAATTTTGTTTTTCTGGTGTTGCCACTCCAGCTGAACCTTAAATTTACTAAAAATCCCAAATAATTTGTTTAAAATTTGTGTGACAAAATATATAGGCACAATTATGTAAATGTGCAATAATGACTAATAATAAAACTCACCACAAATCACAGAAGGAAAAATATGGAAGAGGACCTTCAGGATGAAAGCTGACGGATATTTGCCTGATTTAAAAAAAATGTTTTCATAAATATCTGCTGGTGTGGATAGCTGTGAAGAGACAAAATACAGAGAAGAATGGAAATGAAATGGAAGATATGGTACATTTGTGTTTAGAAAAACCTAGTGATCATCTCAAACTGGGCATTTTAAAACCTAACGGCAGGCGAGACAAACGTCCTGTTGTAAATATCCAACATAATGTTCATTTCTGTCTCTTTCCTCCTTCATCTACGTCTTCATTACGCCTGGCATACGCCTCTTTACCCAGAATCCTTGGCTGAGTTTCCATACTGAGCTATAAAATGTGCCCTAACAACAGGCCAGAAAAAAACAAGCTCAGGCAATGTGCTGAAGGCGAGATAAATGTCACCCGCTCGTGGATTCAGCGTTTAATTGTTTCATTAATGTAGTCTTTTTTTGGGCAGACTTTAAGTCAAGAACACGTGTCTGACACGATGCTGAAGCTGGTTGTGAAAAGCTGCTTAAAACTAGTATGTCGAGCTAGAAACTATTCATGACCGAAAGCAGTTAAGCTACAAATCAATTGATAATTTAAAAATTAGTTCGCTAAACTAAGGAACTAGCAAACATGATTATGGATTTACTGAAACTAAAACCATAAAAAAAAAAAATGCAACAAAATACAAAAATAAATAAATAAATAAAAAGTTGCCATTTTCATTTTAGTAATTTTATGTGCTTTTGTCATTTTGTTTTATATTTAATTTTTTTATGTAAAATATTTTTATTTAGCTTTAATTTAAGCTACGATCAAGCAATTCTTTTAAGAGCTAGTTAGCTCTACAAGATACTTGCAAACAGGTTTATTATGGTTTACTAAATTAAAACTAAAACCTTAAAAAAACACGTGTTTACTTGAAATAAATGTTAACCGAAATAAAATAAAATATAAAAAATTAAACTCATTTTATTTCAGCTAGTTGCCAAGGCAACATTTGTCATTTTCATTTAGTTTAAGTACTAACATGACTACAGCTAAACAAAAAAAAACGAATAAACAAAACTAATAAATACAACTATTAAATAAAAAATAATAAATACTATATAGACATACTTAAAAATAAGAAGAACAAAAACAAACAACAAAATGACAATTCTTTAACTAAAATTGAAGTAAAAAAAAAAAGAAAAAAAAGCGAAATATGAACAAAAACCATAATAGCATATCAATGACACCTAAATAACACTCCTAATAAAATGTAGCTATAGTTACATTGACACTAGCTAATGGGGTAATACCTTTTTAACATAACCAGAAAATGTAATTTATGTTAGAAATTTTACACAGGAAGTTTTTGAAATGGGAAACTTGACAATAATCAGCAGTATTTAACCAAATATTTATATTTGCTACAAGAAAAATGAATGAATGAATGAATGAATGAATGAGTGAGTGAGTGAATGAGTGAGTGAGTGAATGAGTGAGTGAAAGAGTGAGTGAAAGAGTGAGTGAATGTATGAGTGAATGAATGAGTGAGTGAAAGAGTGAGTGAGTGAGTGAATGAATGAGTGAATGAGTGAAGGACTGAGTGAGTGAGTGAGTGAGTGAGTGAGTGAATGAGTGAAGGACTGAGTGAATGAGTGAGTGAATGTATGAGTGAATGAATGAGTGAATGAATGAGTGAGTGAAAGAGTGAGTGAAAGAGTGAGTGAATGAATGAGTGAATGAAAGAGTGAGTGCAAGAGGGAGTGAATCAGTGAATGAGTGAGTGAATGAGTGAAAGAGTGAGTGAGTGAATGAGTGAATGAGTGAATGAGTGAGTCAATGAATGAGTGAATGAATTAATGAATGAATGAGTGAGTCAATGAATGAGTGAGTGAGTGAGTGAATTAATGAATGAATGAGTGAGTGAGTGAGTGAGTGAGTGAGTGAGTGAGTGAGTGAGTGAGTGAGTGAGTGAGTGAGTGAGTGAGTGAGTGAGTGAGTGAGTGAGTGAGTGAGTGAGTGAGTGAGTGAGTGAGTGAGTGAGTGAGTGAGTGAGTGAGTTAATGAGTGAGTGAGTGAGTGAGTGAGTGAGTGAGTGAGTGAGTGAGTGAGTGAGTGAGTGAATGGGCAACAGTGACTCGATTGAAGTGATGATTTGATATGAAGCATCCAAACAAACCAATCAACTAAACTGAATGATCTCCTAAAAAGTCATTAATTTGGTCTCTTAGTCATGTGACTGCATGCATAATATAATATGACAAAATATGACATTTTGTGATGCTACTTTTTAGTAAAAATGCTTTGTGGAAAAGCTAGTGTTTTGAAAATTAAAATTCAATTAGTAGAGTTGTTTTGAGTTGGTGCAAACTTAATCATTCTTCGTTCTGCTAATTAGCTGATGATAAAGATGTGCGAGTTTGATTACAGTCATTCTGAATGAGACGTTTAACCACATCAAACGATCACTGAATCCCAGATGTACATCAGTGTGTTTCAGGTGTGATTAACACACGTGAATCTACAGCTATGACTGCTGTCAGACGGCAGGATAAGAGCCGGTCAGATCTATGTGTCATCAGCAGGCTTTACTGTCAGACTGTACGATATTCATCGGTCTGGACTGACAGTATTGAGCGTTCTGACATCTCACTAACACGAGGAGCTGAAGTCGTACGGCACAAACCCCAGAAAGCCCTCGTGTTAATGCTGCCAATGGCTGTCCTGGAGAAAAAACATAACAAGAAAGAACTTGGAGTGACTTGAATTAGCAGATCACTCATTCTAGAGTCTATAAAATCCAGCGCTGCGTTTCCCAAAAGCATCGTAAGCCTAAGTAGATCGTAGAAACCACAGAGAACTATGATCTCTATGATTTATTGAGGCTTACAATGCCCAGGTCATTTTGATAGTATGTTCCTGAATTGTTAACTAAAACAGAAACTAAATCAGTCAACAAATCATTACATTAAATAAAGCTGAAATAAAATAAAAATGTTTGATGATAAACAAAAATTCAAGTACTAAAATTACTAAAACTGAAATAAAAAAAAACTAAATAGAAATACAAAAAAACTATTTATTCGACAAATATCAAACTAAATCTATTAAAAATAATTTTCATTGATTAAAATTAAACTGAAATAAAATGTATAAATAGATGAAAAACTTAAAAACGTAGAAAATTATAGATGTTGCATTAGCTAGCAACCATCTGAAATAAAATAAGTTCACATACTAAAATGACTAAAACTGAAATAAAGAATATAATTTTTTACTAGAATAGAAATAGAAATAAAAAAGAATAGAAATAGAAGTATTTTTTAAAACTAAAAAAATTATTTCATTCAACAGAACCATCAAAAACGAATCTAACATTTTTTTGTTTTCATTAATTTAAATCAAGTTGAAATAAAATATAAATATCGGACGCAAAATTTAAACTTCAAAATTTAAATGAAAATTTAAAATGTTGCATTTGCAACAAACAACAAAAGTTCAAGTGCTAAAATAACTAAAACGGAAATAAAATAAATGAAAGCAAAATAGAAATATTTCAGAAATACTAAAAAATTTCAAATATAAAACAAAATTAATAAAAATGACAAAGGCACATAAAATTACTAAAATTACAACAATTAAAAAAATTACTTATTTTATTAAAATAAAAATAAAATCTAATTGACACTATTAAAAATACTTGAAATAAAATATAAATATCGGACGCAAAATTTAAACTTCAAAATTTAAATGAAAATTTAAAATGTTGCATTTGCAACAAACAACAAAAGTTCAAGTGCTAAAATAACTAAAACGGAAATAAAATAAATGAAAGCAAAATAGAAATATTTCAGAAATACTAAAAAATTTCAAATATAAAACAAAATTAATAAAAATGACAAAGGCACATAAAATTACTAAAATTACAACAATTAAAAAAATTACTTTTTTTATTAAAATAAAAATAAAATCTAATTGACACTACTAAAAATACTATATTATATAAAAAATACTTTAAATAACACTGGCATCTTCAGAATGTGAGAGAAAGGCACTTGAATAACCAGATATATGTTAAATATCATATAGGTAGTTTTGACATTAATTAGCACGCTCTCTCTCTCTCACACACACACACACACACACACACACACACACACACACAGAGCTTTGCTCCCATTGGTTCATTATACAGTCATTGCAAAGACAGTTAATCTACCAGTCTCACAATATTTATTCCCTAAAGCAAAATATAACTATTTTTAATGTGTTTATTTTATTTTTTTTATTTTTTAAGTGTGAAGTTCGGCCTCTGAATAACGCCACTTGGTACTTTCAGAAAGTAAAGGTAAGGTTTTACCCTGCTCATGAACCCTGTGTGTTTCAGTGGTTCAGTCACAGATTTCTGAAGTGAATTAATCCTGTGGTTGAGCTCGCAGCGTGCGTGCGTGTCCAGGTGCTGCTGCATATGTCGGGCTGATGTCTGGCACGCTTTCACAGCATCGCCGCTCATCTAGAGCTCCACGCTGGCCCTCAGAGACAAACACAGACACACATTCAGTGCTGAACTCGACGTCAGAATTTCACAGCTGCAAATAAACATTTCATGTATCTAACCAGATAAAGCCAAACAGAAATATATATATAAAAAAGCAGAAGTTAAGAAATAAAAAAAATGTTATTCAACATGAATGTTATTCAAAAACTAAATCATTTAAAAAACATTTTTATTAATTGAAATAAAGCTGAAATTAAATATAAATGTAACAGGAAAACTTCAAAACTTGTGCAACTAACTGAAATAAAATAAACATTTACGTCTCTAACATTTATATTCATAACAGCTTAAATAAATAGGAAGGAGAAAACACTTACCATATATGTTGTTGTTGCAACTTCTCAACAGAAGCAACACGAACAGGTTAAAAGTCGATTATCCTCAAAATCTATGAACAAAACTACAGACTTTAGGCTTGTTCAAGCCAAGGGCATTAACTATAATGATGAAGTTTTACAAATCGCTCTAATACTATGAGAAGTCCACACTACAACTAGGTTATAATGATAACAACACAGAGGAACGATATCATTAGAATAACTCTTAGAATGATTTTTCCCAGCTGATGAATGTTAACATTGACAGCCAATCAGAATCCACCTGAATTTTAAAAGCAGATCATTTAAAGCAGCAGACAACAAAACTGCAGCGTGCTTATCATATACAGAGCACTACTGTGCATTAGTGTGGAGGCTAATATCGTTATCTGAAAGAGTTTTCTGCTCACCAAGGATGCATTTATGTAATCAAAAGTTAAAATAGTGAAACATTATTATAAAGTAAAACAGCTGTTTTCCAAGTGAATATCTGTTAAATTGTAATTTATTTCTGTGATGCGCAGCTGTATTTTCAGCATCATTACTCCAGTCTTCAGTGTCACATGATCTTCAGAAATCATTCTAATATGCTGATCTGCTGCTCAAGAAACATTTCTGATTATTATCAATGTTGAAAACAGTTGTGCTGCTCAATATTTTTGTGGAAACTGTGATGCATTTTCAAAAGAACAGCATTTATTTGAAATAGAAATATTTTGTAACATTATAAATGTCTTTACTGTCACTTTTGATCATTTAATGCACCCTTGATGAATAAAAGTATCAATTTCTTTCAAAAAAAGTAGTATGTAATCTAAATATATATATATATATATGTGACCTTGGACCACAAAACCAGTCATAAGGGTTTTGAATAAATAAATAAGCTTTCCATTGATGTATGGTTTGTTAGGATAGGACAATATTTGGCCGAGATACAACTATTTGAAAATCTGGAATCTGAGGGTGCAAAAAAATCTAAATATTGAGAAAATCATCTTTAAAGTTGTCCAAATTAAGTTCTTAGAAATGCATATTACTAATCAAAAATTAAGTTTCGCA